GGATTCTGAATATAAGCTACACATCATTCGATGTAGAATTAAATTCTCTACAAAATGATGTATAGCTTATCTTCGGGCAATGGATGAATTGCTCAGGACATAAATTTTTTTCGAATTTTTTGTGACTCATATCATAATTTCGGCCTGATCACTCCAAAGGAAATGGATTTCTAATATGAGCTATACACCAATCGATGCAGAATTAAATTCTCTACAAGTTGATGTATAGCTTATCTTCGGGCAATGGATGGTTTGCCCAGAAAATAAGATTTTTTCAAAATTTTTTTCCAATTTTTTTATCACTCAAGTCACTATTTAGGCGTGATCACCCCCAAGGAAATGGACTCTGAATATAAGCTACACATCATTCGATGCAGAAATATATTCTCTACAAGATGATGTATAGCTTATCTTCGGGCAATGGATGGTTTGCCCAGGGGATAAATGTTTCCAAATTTTTTTCCAATTTTTTTATGACTCAGGTCATAGTTTGGGCCTGGTCACTCCCAAGGAAATGGATTCTTAATATGAGCTATACATCATTCGATGGAGAATTAAATTCTCTACATAATGATGTAAAGCTTATCTTCGGGCAATGAATGGATTGCCCAGGAAATACATTTTTTTCAAATTTTTTTGTGGCTGATGTCATACTTTGGGTCTGATCACTCCCGAGGAAATGGATTCCTAACATGAGCTATGCACCAATCGATGCAGAATTAAATTCTCTAACAGATGATGTATAGTTTATCTTCGGGCAATGGATGGTTTGACCAGAAAATAAATTTTTGTCAAATTTGTGTTTCATCTTTTTCATGTATCATATCATAATTTGGGCGTGATCACCACCAAGGAAATTGATTCTTAATAGGAGGTATACATCATTCGATGCAGAATGAAATTCTCTACAAAATGATGTATAGCATATCTTCGGGCAACGGATCCTTTGCTCAGCAAACAAATTGTTTTTTGAAATTGTTTTGGAATTGTTTTATGACTCAACGCATAGTTTGTGGGAGATCACCCTGAAGGGAAAGGATTTTTGGTGTGAGGTATACATCATTGGATGTAGAATTAGTTTCTGTACAAAAGGATGTATAGATTAGTATCGGGCAATGGATGGCTGCCTAAAGAATTATGTTTTCTTCAAAATCGGTGGTGGTAGCTTCACATGAATTAAAAACTTCTAATAAAAAGTCAATTTTTCGACCACATGGTCCATTGCCCGAACATGAATTATACATCAGCTTGTAGAGAATTTAACTCTGCATCGAACGATGTATAACTCATATCGGGATTCCATTTCCATATAGGTGATATATGCTCACCTATGAGTGGGCACAAAAAAAAAATGAAAAACTTCTAGTGAAAAAGCCATTTTTCGATCATACGGTCCATTGCCCGAACATGAATTATACATCATCTTGTAGAGAATTTAATTCTATATCGATTGATATCCAAATCAACTTCAGAATCCATTTCGGTATGGATCATCCGTCCTCAGCTATGACTCGCGTGAGGAGAAAAAACAAAAAACAATTAAAACAAAGAAAATTTTATGAAAACCATCCATTGCCCGAGGATGAATTGTACACCAACTTCTAGACAATTTAATTCTCTATTAATTGATGTACAACTCATCTTCAGATTCCATTTTGACATGGGTCATCTAGCCTTAGATATGAATGGAGTCAGCCCAGAAAAATAAAAAAATTCGAAAAAAAGAAAAATTTTTATAAACACAGTCCATTGCCCGAAGATGCGTTGTACATCAACTTGTAGAGAATTTAATTCTCTGTCGATTGATGTACAACTCATCTCCAGATTCCATTTCGATATGGGTCATCGAGCCTCAGATATGAGTGAAGTCAGCAGTAAAAACATAAAAATTTTAAAAAAAAAAGGAAAATTTTTATAAAAAGAGTCCATTGCCCGAAGGTGAGTGGTACATCAATCGATAGAGAATTACATTCTCTACCAGTTGATATACAACTCACCTTCGGGCAATGGACTCTTTTTACAAAAATTTTTCTTTTTCTCAAATTCTTTTTGTTTTTTATTGTCAGTTCACTCATATTTCCGACTGGATGACCCATATCGAAATGGAATCTAATGATGAATTGTACATCAATCGATAGAGAATTCAATTCTCCACAAGTTGATGTATAACTCATCTTCGGGCAATGGAATCTTTTTCGCAACATTTTTCTTTTTTTCTTAAATTTTTTTTCCTTTTTCTGATGAGTTCACTCATATTTGAGGCTGGATGACCCATAACCAAATGGAATCTGAATATGAGTTGTACCTCAATCGATAGAAAATTAAATTCTCTACAAGTTGATGTACAACTCATCTTCGGGCAATGGATCGCTTTCATGAAATTTTTCTTTTTTTCATATTTTTTTTGTTTTTTCTACCCACTGGACTTATATTTGAGGCTGGATGACCCATATCAAAATAGATTCTTAAGATGAGTTGTACATCAATCGATAGAGAATTAAATTCTCTACAAATTGATCTACAACTAATCTTCGGGCAATGGATCGTTTTCATAAAATTTTTGTTTTTTGCGAATTTTTTTTGTTTTTTCTACCCACTGGACTTATATTTGAGGCTGGATGACCCAGATCAAAATAGATTCTTAAGATGAGTTGTACATCAATCGATGGAGAATTAAATTCTCTACAAGTTGATGTATAACTCATCTTCGGGCAATGGATCGCTTTCATGAAATTTTTCTTTTTTTCATATTTTTTTTGTTTTTTCTACCCACTGGACTTATATTTGAGGCTGGATGACCCATATCAAAATAGATTCTTAAGATGAGTTGTACATCAATCGATAGAGAATTAAATTTTCTACAAATTCATCTACAACTAATCTTCGGACAATGGATCGATTTCATGAAATTTTTGTTTTTTTCGAATTTTTTTTGTTTTTTCTACTGACTGGACTCAGATTTGAGGCTGGATGACCGATGTCAAAATAGATTCTTAAGATGAGTTGTACATCAATCGATAGAGAATTAAATTCTCTACAAATTGATCTACAACTAATCTTCGGGCAATGGATCG